CGCCATTTGTTGCTTTTACCATGAAATAAACTGAAATAAAATGTTGTATGTTCTTCGAAGGTCATGCATCATTTCACAGTCCTAGATTAAGCGGCGCTAGTGTTCCTTCCGTTTCAGAAGTGTGTGCTTCTGCCATATTGTTATTACCGGTTGCAGGATAGCGAAAATACACGTAGGCTTACAACGCTTGGGTCGCCTAAGATGGCGTAACTGTTGTTTAAAATATGAAATTCGACTAATTGATGTAAAGTTGAATGGAGGGACAGAGGCACACACAGACAGAAAGACACACTGAGAGCATGGTGACTTCCTAAACGTGTTTCTTTCGTTAATGACGAAGAGTGTGATAATAGTGCACCTTATAGAAAAATGAATTCGGATAGAAATCGGGTATATTCCTTAGTATAAAGCACAGACGCGGCACGCAGTAGCATAGTTGGTTGAGACACTATGCTGCAAGCCGAAAGGTCGAGGATTAGATTCCCGTTGAAGCCACTAGATTTTTCAAGTAACCTAATTCTTCCTGCTGCAATATGGACCTGGGATCTACTCAGCCTCTAACAGAAATAAGTATCAGGAATATTCCTGGGTGTTTAAGGGCGGCCGGCGCGTAAGGCTGACAACCTTACCGCCATCTGTGAGCAGATTATCTACAAAATATGAGAGCCTCTACATCTCACAACCCGATAGAGCTAGTCCCTATCTAACGATTGGGCCCAATTGAGTAGGTTTTACCTGAAGACGGAGACAGAATCCGGTCTCGAAACGTTGTGTTGTGAAAAATAAACAGGGCGGTTTTTAGATAAAGACAAGACGATATATAATGTCCAGAAACATAATATTTGTACTAATGTAATATCGTCACAAACTTTTAGATCTTATTTCAGAATAGTTTCCAATGCAGGATTTTGATATTTTCAGTGCTGAACCTTTGAATACTGTTATCAGAGTATTAGATTTCAACAGATTTGATAGATAATAACTGCAAGTTACAAGATACTACCTACTATCAAACGTACCACAGTAGCAAAGTAAACGTACCTCGTGGTACTTAAGCCTTCTATAATTTCAGTACCAGTGACTGGAATAATCACGCTGGGTGGCATTGTTTACTGTCTGATACATACTTGTCACGTCTAAAATGTTATGTTCAGATGTATTTGGCATAACGCCTAAGCCAATAGTTATCAGAGAGTGGATCGTGGACCCCTATACTTCTTGAAGTTGCTTCTGGCGTGTTACAGTCCCGTACAAATTGAAATTCGAGAAGGCCAAGAAAATCAGGCGGAGAACGTGGCCTAGAGATGCTGGGGAGAACCTAGAACTTTGCAACAGGTATCCTTCAGTGGGGTCTAAAGGTTCGGCCACACAGAGCGCTATGCTATGTTCGCTACGTACGCTACGTACGCTGTGTACACTTTGCGACGCAGCTAACATAGGGAATATAGCGTACGTAGCGTACGGAAGTCTGTGTGGCCAGTCACATTGGCAATAAAGGGAGATATTTTTCTGTTCGTATAGCGAACGTAGCGTACGTAGCACTCTGTGTGGCCGAACGTTAATAAAACCCTTCCTCGTACCTCCTAACTGAATATCAAACCAACTGATTCAATCAATAAACCTTTAACTAAACCAAACTAACTTTAATTACTAATTAAACTAAGTATTTAAGTACGGTGGGACACGCGGTAGCGTAGTTGGTTGAGGCACCATGCTACAAGCCTGGAAGTCGCGGACTCGAGTCCTGATGAGGTGGACTTTTTTCAGTTTACCTAATCCTTCCAACCGCACTATGGCCCTGGGGGTTGACTCAGCCACTAACAGAAATGAGTACCAGGAATCTTCCTGCGGGGACAAAGAGCGGCCGGTGCGTAAGGCTGACAACCTTACCGCCATCTTTGAGTTGATTGTCTAGAGAAAATGTGAGATCCTCGACGTCTCATAAACCTATGGGCCTTCGCGGTCTGTTACAGGGACAGCTTTACCTTTACCTTTATTTAAGTACGTTACACTAACTAAATAACGAAGTTCTACGCAAGTAGAGGTCTTGTGATGTGCTGAACCCCCGACAGAGGAGTTCTCTCTGATGTCTAAGTATTGTATTAGAATTAATTTTTGTATCAACAATACAATATATCTTCTTCAGATGTCACGGACATGTTGCTCAACAAGTAAAACAATTAACTCTTTTCATAAATTTCGTAGTTTCATTACCGTGTTCACAAGAAACGTCAGTGTGGAAGCTGTCCTGAAACCACCACACAAACCCAGTCCACATCGTCACTATCTACTTCTTCAAAATCCATTGTTAATAATACTCTCCCATCGACGCCTAGGACATCTCAAGTGGTTTCTTCCCTTCCGACTAAACCAGGGGTCTCCAAACTTTTCGAAACGCGGGCCACATTAGGTAGTTCAGCACTTTTAACGGGCCGGATAAAATGAGAAATTAATAACTCTAGGTATATGAGTTTTATTGAAAGCACAGAATTTCATAAACAAAATACAAAGTACGTGAGAATAAATTATCGTATATTAATGACAACAGACAGTAGCAGCAAATGCTCATATTTTCATCACAAATTATAATAAAACAATTAATGTGAATGATGGAACTCTTTTTGCATTCTTAAAATCTGATTAAATTGAGGTTCAAATTTTGAAACGCTAATCACAAGTAGCGACTTTAAATGTTCATCGGATAAATTTGCCCTGTATTTCGACTTGATGTACTTCATCTGGGAAAAAGTTTGTTCACACAGATATGTCGTCCCAAAAATGGAGATAAATTTACAAGCAAATTTCTTTAAATTTGGAAATTGCTCAGAGTTCAGAAATTTATAAAATTCGATCAAATTTCCTTCCTTGTATTTGTCTTTAATATGACAATTTTCCTGAAGTTCAATAATTTCCATTTGAATTTGACTTGGGACATCTGCAGCATCACAGTCAAACGGATTTTGAAACAATTTAATTTCCTAAGCACTGGCATCCAAATCAGCAAATCACTTCCGAAATTGTTCTTTCAAATCTAAAATGACTAAATTTGCACACGAGGAAGGAAATTCAGCTTCACCCTTATTATGCAGTTCTGCACAGTACAGCATATGAACAAAGTTACAAATTTTTCACTTGGCTTTCCAGAAGTATCAACTTTGCTCTGAATGCCTTGATAAGTGCAAATAAATCACAGACTAAGTTATTTTCACCCTGCAACTTTAAATTCAAATTGTTCATATGGTTCACCACATCAGCAAAAAATGCTAATTTCCAAAGCCACTCGGTATCTGATAAAAGTGGTTGCGAATAATATTAATATTAACATAATATGGAATATCAATATATTTTAAACACAATCTTAATTAATGAATTTTAAATCTATGAACAAATATTTCTTTTACCAGTACTCATTGGAAAATTAGTTCAATTGGCGCATTTCTGCGCAATTCTTTCGCGGGCCGGATAAAATCACATCGCGGGCCGTAGTTTGGAGACCCTTGGACTAAACCATTGTATTGATTACTCACCTCACATCTGGTGAGATACCTGCACCGTCCACCTCATCCTCCTTGATTTTTATCTAACACTGTCTGATGAGGAACATAATTTTCGAAGCTTCCCATTATCTGCGTGCACAGACGCACAAGGAAACACGCGCATTCATGTAGCTCCATCTTTCCTCCTTCTGTTCTGAGTATTCGCACTTCCCACCCTCTCTTTGTTGCGTAAGAGATCTTACTGCCCTTTGCTTCTTCCTTATTACTCACATCCTTCTTTATCTCTCTTCTTCTCGGTGCTATAAGCTCACGCGATGCAGTGGCTGGCTATGGGTCTGCAGTGCAGAGGTCGAATCCAGGCAGGTGTATGAATTTTCTCTTGGTCACCACAGTGTACAGATGGGCTCTGGCGCTCATACGGGTTCACATCTTCCTTCGAAAAGAATGGCTGCAACGAACCTGACCCTCCACATCCATCTAGTGCCGAGGTCTACATGGTTGATGTTCCCCAACAAAAATGCTTTGTTTAGTTACAGTTTCTCCCGTTGTGCTACATACTCCACTCGTCTTTCATTCTGATGTTTCGTCCGAAGAATATTAAGCGAATTATACAAATTAGGAGTAAGTAAAGTAAAGTAAGCCGGTCACGGTAGCCGAGCGGTCTAAGGCATGTACTGTCTTCGCTCGCTTGGAAGCCGGTATCCTGGGTTCGAATCCCACTCAGGGCATGGATGTTTAGTTTGTGTGTGCGCGTTTTTCTGTGTTTGTGTACAGGTAGAGGCCTTGCGACGAGCTGATCACCCGCCCAAGGAGTCCTACCGAACGTGTAAGATCTAGAAAAACCGAAGTGAACGGAGAAGTTCATGGAGGTAGGCCTAGGCACACTGGGGCTGTAGTGCCAAGAAAAAGAAAAAAGCAAAGTAAAGGTATCCCTTTAACAGGCCGTGGAGGCCCATAGGGCTGTGAGACGTCGAGGTTTTCTCTAGACAATCGGCTCACAGATGGCGGTGAGGTAGTCAGCCTTACGCGCCGGCTGCCCTTTACCCCCCAGGAATATTCCTGGTACTCATTTCTGTTAGAGGCTGAGTCGACCCCCAGGGCCATGCGGCTGGAAGGATTAGATAAATTGAAAAATCCACCTCATCGGGATTCGATCCCGCGACCTTCCAGCTTGTATCATAGTGCCTCAACCAAATACGCTACCGCGTGCCCCCATAAAATCACGAAGTATCCGATTGAACAATTCTCTCCAATCATCTCATGCTAAGGTTCAAATATTCTCGTCCTTTTCTCAAACACTCTCAATCTGTGCCCTTTCCTCGGTGTGAAAGACCAAGTTTTACACCCACGTTGTATAGTCTTAATAGGCATTTGCGTTCAGGGCCACATGACATTTACTTCGAACCAACCATCACAAGTAATGAGCGTGGGACGGCGGTGAGGAGAGCAGAGGGGGACATGCAATATCTTTTATCTTGTACTATACAGTACTGTACATTTGCCGCGGAACAAGCGTCAGTCATCGTACATTATCACGTAGGGATCCGCGTTCAAATGTTTCTCAGTCGCCTTCAACGCGCATGCTTGTCGAGTTCTAACGTCTGTCCACTCCGCAAAGTGTTAGCGAAATTGCGAATGTGTCCCGTGCTGTGATTACCACATTTCATTGTGAGAATCTAAAATATACCACGTATTGGGTACATAACTACTGGATAATTTCATATTTGAGATAAAAGTGTATGATTTTCTTTTAATTTTAAATTATAACTTGAATAATCAAATGAAAGCAAGCGAAGTTTCGGGTAACAGGCTATGAACTCGTTCAGGAAGTACTGCAATTATTTATAAATGAAATGTTACGAAAAATTATTTTGGATCCTTGCCAAAATTATCAAATCTATAGGATTAGATAATTTTACGTCATCTAATAGAAAATATTTTAATACAGTAAGGCTGAATATAAATGCATTTTTGCCAGTTATTTATTCCCAAGACAGCAGAAGTGTAAAACCATTTAGTTTGAATAGTTTCTTGATATTATTAAGCAGTTTGTTGCTGGATATAATTTAAACATTGCAAGATCGTATAAGCTCTGTGACTAGTGAACCAATTTTATTCTTTATCTGCCAACAGTAACGTAAGAAGGCACAGGGCTGTGTGGTGTGAGTTGGGCTTTTAATTGACTTCTGAATGGTTCCTGTGGACTCCAACTAGAGAAGAAATCAGAACAGTGTAAGTAACTTACAACGTCTTCCATTTCTACTAACACCACACTGTGCGTGGTCTTTGACATTTACATATCTGGTTAAGAAATAATACTCTATGTAAGATTTGAGGCTTTCACGGCGGTGACTATGAAGAAAGCAGTCTTCTGTGGTTAACACCACATATACACGGTGCCAAATCCCGGAAGACTGCTTTCTTCAAATAATACTCTGTTGAAACCGAAGTTCCATTGCAGTATTCCAAAGATTCGATACAGAAAAACAATCTCGAATCAGTTACATTCACAGTATATCCTTACAACCATTTATTTTAAGATTCATTTTAATATCATTCCCCCATTTCACGCTTGGATCTCCTAAGCCATATCTCCAATTCAGGTATTCTGACTAAATTTTTTTTTTGCTTTTCTCGTATTTTCTAGCGCTGTTACAGTTGCTGGTCTTCTTATCTTTCATTATTTAATTACTCTAATATCAGGCAGAGATTTTTACCCCTGTAGCTCTACAGCCCTTTGGACTTTCGTCACTTTTTCAGTTTATTTGCCTATACTCAGTCAGTAGGACTCTTTAAGCGGGGGATCAGCCCGTCACAAGGCCTATACGTACACACAGTATAAACGCACACAGACATCCTTGCTCTGAGTAGCATTCCAACCCACGAGTCCAGTGTTTGAGCGAGCGAGCGAACACAGTTCATGCCACTGTGATCCGCTAGGCTGACACTAAAGGTTCTGAGAATCCTCATTATGACATTTATCTGCCGTGTTACTTATTTCTGAGCGGCCTCCGTAGTCTAGAGGTAACGTTCCCACCTCATGACTCGTGGTACGCGGGTTCAAATACCCTGCGGGGGTCGAATTTTTAAGGGCGGAAAAATTCAGGGAACAAGACCTCCGGGAGGGACTTTAAGCTGTGTGTCCCGTGTCGTAACTTTACGGCACGTAAAAGAACCTCATATCCCCAAAGGGGATCACTGAGCCAAATTCCAGGACGTTTCCCGCCCAACAATAGTCTCTAAGGCCTCTGATAAATGGGGGAAGCATTATAGACACCGCTAAGCAAGTGGCCGAACTCGCTTGCTCGGCGGGACTGATGGTACGCACCATTTATCGGTAGGGTAAAGAGACTGGTAGAATATCATAGAGGGAAGCACAATAGATCAAACTGGTCGCGGTGCATGGGGAAACCCACCCTCTCTAAATAACTAACTAACTAAATACTTATTTCTGTCGTCTAAATACTATCCACAGTACTTTGCTTCAAGTCCTGGGGCATCCTTTACACATTCTAGCAGGTCAGGGTAAGAGACGTCAAGTGAAACCCACCAGCTGGATAGCCGTTCCTTATCGGAAATCCGGTTATGGACACACTTCGTACCATCGTTATGTAAACTCTTCTTGACCTTCTGTTCCATAACAAACTTCGTTAAACCGTATACAAGTACGCATGGCAGATAACATTGCGAAAACATCCTAGTGATAATTAAAATATTTTGATGCGTTAGGATGTAGTAATGAAGACCTTGACTCTTGAGCTAAAAGCATTAAAATATTTGCACGTTTCGTGATGTGCTTAAGTACACCAAACTTTGTGTTGTATAAAAATGTTATTACTATCCTGAGCGTTAAGAAATAAAAAGTTCAACTTCGCCGCATAGCAAAATCAAAGCGAAATCCACATTATCATGATTGCTAATTAGCAGCTCAATGTAATTGCAATACACGGTTCGGGTCTCGGTCGAGTCACCTGTAATACTGAGAAGGAAGAGAGATTTGTCGTGATTTTCTTTTTCAATCTGTCCAGAAGAATGATCTTTAGGCTACATTACAATAGTCCATGATTATCTTCCCATTTTGAGCCATTTTGACCCCTGAATGTGGAACTAAAAGGCTTTAAGTAATTATTTTTGTTTGTAGATTATGATCTACGAATTAATTATCAGTCACTCTTGTTGTGAACTTTGAAGTTAACTATGAAGAGTCCTGTCTTATCGGATATACCACCATGTAGTCCGCTGAAAGCCAATCGACGTTTCGGAGGAATATGTCGGCTGCATATTTAAGGTCGAATAATAATTCAAGTTAGAAAACAGCATGAAGCAGGTAGTAAGCAGAGCTGAAGATGGAGGCGACATATTCCTCCGAAACATCAGTTGACTTTCAACGGACCGTACGGCGTTATATCCCGATGACAGTCTGTTCATTATCAGCGTTGTGAAAAATTCGTATCGTACGTTTGAAGTTGAGTGATTGGTTCGTAGTGACTGTGTTGTCCTGTGTGGAGGTAGCGGCCTTACGACGGGCTGATCCCCCGTCCAAGGAGTCGTACCGACTGTGTACAGATTAAGAAACTGAAAAAGTGGCCATGGTCCACAAGGGCTGTATAGTCGTACGTAGATAGAATGAAGTTAAAAAGACCAAGGACGGCGTTGCAGTATTTCTCTAGATCAACTCACTGAGTTTTTTATCTTCTGTGATATGGCAATGTGTAATCCGGTAGATGCTCGCCGACGTTTCCGTAATCTCTTCGTCCTCACTTCTTGCTCATTGCATATTTTCGAACCAGGATATCAAGGCAGTATGTCCCCTGAAAAGTCGATAAATTACACGGCGCTGTGTTTGCATATCAAGCAAAAAACTCCGAGGTTTCTTAGTCCCCAAGCCAACTATATCGACCGAGCGCCCGTCGCTTCTCGGCGAAGTTAGTGCCAACTTTAGCGGATAGAAGGTGTCGCGTGGTCAGCGCAACGGATCCCCATGGCCGTTAATTTCGGTTTTCTAGATCGAAACCGCTACTTTTCCATTCAAGTAGCTCCTCAATTATCCTCACGAGGCTGACTGGACCCAGTTCGAGACCCACTACTTCTCAGAAAATTTGGATCTGTAGCCAGGAACTCTGACCGCTAGACCCCAGAGGCGGTCAGCTAATAATTAGATGTGTACAGGTGTGTGGGAGAGACTGGGTATCGGTCCTCCGAAAGTCCGTTTCTGTTTTACCGGTGCGTGAATGCGAAGATGTCGCAAACGGCTGGACTAAAGCAGCATCGCGGATTCTACTTACAGGGACTAAGGGTGAAACAGGAGAACATCAGGTTGGAGAGCTGGTTTCTTCATCTAATCAAGGATCTTCAAAACAGAAACCCGGACCCCTACATCTCTACACCGAGTCAGTCTGTACAACATACGGACAAACAGAAATTCACGTCCCAGTTATGAGTTCATTTTGTTCGTTTTGTATAAAAAGGAACGTTTAACACAATTTCAAATAATATTTTTAGAATTTCATGAGACAAACATTTTCTTTATTTACTTACTTACGGGGCGGATAGAAGTGACCAGAAGACAAGTAAGAAGACGTAAGAAGATGCTGGATGACCTTGGGGATAGAAGAGGATACTGTCATTTGAAGGAGAAAGCTCTAGATCGCATCAAGTGGAGGAACTGTTTTGAAAGAGACCGTGGACCTGTCGTCTTGACAGATTACAGATGAATTATGGAGCTAAGCCCTTCTTGAGGAGAAGCCAATTCTGCAGCTACTCAAGAATTTCCCAGCATTTTATGGAACCCGAAGGTTCATTATCATGTTCACAAGAGCCCTCTACTGGTCTCTATTCTGAGTCAGATCAATCCAATCCATACCATTCCATTCTATCTCTCTAAGATCCAAAGATCCATTTTAATATTGTTCTTTACGAATTTTAATTTTCATTGTTTTCAGATAGTCTAAATGTCAAATATTAAATAGACCATGCAGTTAATATGCCGATCACATTGGCCGAGCGGTCTAAGGGAAGGAGTCCTACCGACGGTGTACAGGATCAAGAAACTGAAAAGTGGCGCAGGGCCAAAAGAGGGCGGTGCAGCCATAGATAGATAGCTATTTATTATTATTATTATTATTATTATTATTAGAGGGGGTGGGTTTCCCCATGCACTTAGACCAGTTATTGGTTCACTGTGCGTCCCCCTTTAATTTCTACTGTCGCCATACCCTACATGTACTGGTGCGTGCTATCAGCCCCGTTCAGCCAACGAGGTCGGTCCTCGGTATCTCATATTTCCCCCATCTACCAGAGGCATTGGAAACTACTTGGGCGGGAAATGTGTTGCCTAATTTTGCTCAGAGGTCTCCTAGAGACATGAGGATCTTTTACGTGCCGTAGATCTACGACACGGGATCCACGGCTTAAAGTCCCTCCCGGAGGGAGGGAACCCGCGTACCTTGAGTCATGATGTGGGAATGTTACCCCTAAACTACGGCCGCTTAGATAGATAGCTAACAAACATATCTGTACAACGTACTCCTCCTGTGTGCACTCTACTATCTCTGTTAAATAATGGCTAATTGTCAATGGATTAGACAAATATTGCCTACAGATAAAGTTGGCTTTGTGCAAGAGGATGACACGGCTGACTTTCAAGGTCTTCAGAGGCGTCATATAAACTTCACAAATGGAATGTGTCGTTATTTAACAACAGCAGATGCACGATGGAGAAAAGGCGTGACCGAATACAGGATTTATCTTGAGAGCATGAACTTAACAGGCATTTAACTCAGTGGAAACTACATCTGCTCTCTGATTTAACAGTCAGTATCTCAGTTTCCGAGACATTTATATTCAATTGAAAAAGAGCACATTTAGTTTGCCGGACAGCATTCGGCGATGAAACAACCGGAAAACACTACTTCCACGTTGAGCGTTCACTTTATATCTTAAAAAAGGTAAAGCTACCCCTGTAACAGGCCGTGGAGGCTCATAGGTTTGTGAGACGTCGAGGCTCCCACATCTTCTCTAGACAGTCGGCTCACAAATGGCGGTAAGTTTGTCAGCCTTACGCGCCGGCCGCCCTTTACCCCCAGGAAGATTCCTGGTACTCATTTCTGTTACAGGTTGAATCGACTCCAGGGCCATATTGCGGCTGGATGTATTAGGCCAGTTAAAAAAATCCACCTCATCGGGACTTGAACCCGCCACCTTCCGGCTTGTAGCATAGTACCTCAACAAAC